GGATTAAAGGTATATGTACAACACCTCTTTCTTTTTTTTCCCGTTTTTTCTTTTGATTTTTCAAGATAGTCTCTGCCTCTGCCTTCCAAGTGCTGGGATTAAAGTCTTATGCCACCACCACCTGACTGATAAAAAATATTTTTTAAGAAAATAAAATTATGGAGCAATTTCCCTAATGAATATGCGTGCAAAAATTGTAAATAAAACCAAATTCAACAATATATTAGAAGGTTCATTTCCTGTGAACAAATTAACTTGATTCCATGGAAGAGAGAACCCAAACAGAACCACTGGCAGCCACCTAAATTCTCACAAAGGTGCTAACAGCCAGCAAAACTAAATTGTAGGAAAGACAGCGTCTTTACAAATTGTGCTGGAAAACAGGATATCCACAAGTAGAAGATTGAAATTAGATCTGTATCTTTCACTGTACACAAAAATCAACTCACAGTAGATCAGAGACCTTGATGTAAGAAAGCAAACTTCGAAACTGCTAGAGGCATTGGAGGGAAACAGTTCCAGATGGAACATGGGCAGGGCTTTCTCGAAAGGCAAAGGGAGTGTGTGAACTAAAGCAAGAACTGAGAAATGGGCTGGACAAAATTACAGAGCTCAAAGCAAAGGAGGCAATCTCCAGACTGAGAAGACTGCTGCCAACCCGAGGAGAGCTCAGCCAGAGATGCTAGGAGAGGTTAATTCTTAGCGTCTCTAAATAACTAAAAAGTATAGGTACTCCAAACTAGTCCAGTTCGCAAATGGGTAAATTAATTAAACTTTCCTGAAAGAATTACTGGCCAGTAAGCATAAAAGGAGAAAAGTTCTTTGCGGCCCTGTAAATGCAAATCTCAAACTCTGTTGAAATCCCATGCTATCTTTATTGAAAGACTTATGAAAGCGAGTGCAGATAGAGTAGGAGGAAGGGAACTTTTAGTGTTGTTCCTACAGATGCATTCAAGAACTACATTCTATTTTACTAATATGTATTTTGATGATCTTTCTTTTATGTACTTACTATAGAAAATAACTGAAGATGGTATTTAGTGAGGCAAGAAACTTACTGAGCTGTCCTCTGTTGAAGTTACTTTGTGATATACTCTGCATATATCCTTGCTCACATTCGCCATACACACAAGAGAAGGCAGGGAAAGTCAATGGAAAGAAGGCCAGGTAATGGTTATTCTTAGTTTTTAGAATGTAGTAGTAATAACCACAAACCTAAGAAAGGATATTGAGAGTGAAAATAGGGAACTGCGTGGAGAATGTGGAGCACATTCTACTTAAGATGGCAGCTATCTCATTTGTAACAAGAGGCTAAAAGTAACTTGTCTAGAAAAATGAAGAAAAAGAAACTCATAAAAACAAAAGCAAAGACGCCTTGTTGTCTTTAAATTTCTCCTTGTGTGAGCATGCCATCATGTGTGTGTCCTCTGTATTGCCAGACTTTTATTAAAGCTTTTGGAACTAATGAAGGCCAGTCATTTGAATGTTATGTTCAGCATTTTGAAAGTCAAAATGTGTATTTTAAAATCACACACAAATAGGGAATAGAGCATACTTGATTATGAGCTATGGATTTTTAAATTCTTTTCTAATATAAAATTCAAAACTGTGACCTAGTTCTGTATTGTAAGGAATAAATTTTTTTACTTTAAGATATAATTATGAATTTTAAAAGTGCTGAAAAGTAGAGTTGGTTTTGATTGGATCAAATGTTTAGCCTGTAATATATGCTTTTAACCAAAAGCCAATCTAGTGGTTTTAAGTGGGTTCCTTACTTAGTGTGTCAGAATGCTTCCAATAACCAGGCCTTGCAGCAGACATTACTGACTGCCAGCCCCATCTGGAATAGCTCTCAGATACAAAGTGAAAGGAATCTATGCATATAGTTTGTGAAAAGTCATTGATCCACCATTTCCTCTTGACTCCCTTTTCCTCAGGAAACTACTACTACTCATAACTCCACGAAAGTGCGGAGTCTTAGGAGCTTCTTTCCTCCCATGAGATCATGGTGGACCTACTTTTTAAAAAAACAAAAACAAAAACAAAAAAAACTGAGTCTCTCTAAATTGACCTTGCTGCCCTTGAACTCGCTGTAGTCAGACAGGCATTGAATTGTGATCCTCTCAGCTTAGCCTGGGACTGCAGACATGCACAGTTATTTTTTAAAGGATATATTGATATGTTTTTGCCAGGGAGGGGTTTGTTTGTAAGACAGGGTCTTACTATGTAGTAGAAACTGACCTGTAATTCACTGTGTAAGCCGGGTTGGTCTCAAACCTGTGATTCATTCTTCTTTCACAGTTTCTGGGGTGATAGAATTTCAGGTGTGTCCCACAACATGTGGCACTGATTTCAGCTTTCTGAAGAACTGCCATATAGTTTCATAATGGTTATTTCACTCTACTAGGTTTCTTTTTTGTCCACATCTTTACCAACATTTGTTATCTGTTTCTTTTTTATTACAGTCATTATAAGAGATGATACGTTGCTGGGTGGTGAGGGCACACACCTTTAACCCCAGCACTCAGGAGGCAGAGGCAGGCAGATCTCTGTGAGTTCAAGGCCAACCTGGTCTACACAGCTAGTTCCAGGACAGCTAGGACTACACAAAGAAACCCTGTCTCAGAAAACCAAGAGAGAGTGGGGGGTGGAGAGGAAAGGATATGTTATAAGAGGTGTTGTTTTCTAGATTTGATTTGCAATTCCTTGTAATGTTGAATGTTTTCATGTATAGATATAATTATTCATTTGTCTATTGAGCACTTTTTCCTTATAAAAGTTGGTATTTGCTTTTCCTTGTGTAAAATATTAAGTCTTTTGCTCATTTACCACCAACAACAAACCCCACTTTCTTTGAAATGGATCTTTTTGTGTCTTGTTTGGACCGGTTTTACAATCCTGGGCTCACATGATTCTTAGACTTCAGGCTTTATGTGGCTAGGGCTGTGTGTGCCATTGTCCAATATCCTTAACTAATCTTAATTTTTTTTCTTGATAGTGAAATGAGTTTTTAAAATTTTTTACATTAACTCTTTATCAGGTTTATTTTCTGGTTTGCAAATGTTTTCTGCCATCTTGTCTGTAGGATTCTCTTTATTCTGTTTCACATGTGTCAAATTTTTTAGTTTGATAAAATTTCTTTGTGATGAGTATTTTTAGTATAAAAATGAATGACCTATTGTTAAGGAATTCTTTATGTTATCTTCTGGTAGTTTGACAGTTTTCAGTTCATTCATCTCTTTAATATATTTTGCTTATTCTTTTGTACATGGTATGAAAATATGGGTCCAAGCCCATTGCTCTTCATGTAGATTCAGTTTTGCACCATTGCTGATTAAGAAACTAGTCTTTCCTCGCTGTGTATTCCTGGCACCTTTGTCAAGATTGACTCCAAATGTGCAAACTTCTTTGTGTTCTGCCTATTCTGTTCTAATGATGGCGTTTCCTGCTTGTATATTATGATCACCATAATATTTTGGTTACTGTAAATTTGTAATACACATTGAAATCATAAAGTGTGAATTTTGGATTCTATAAATACAAATGTAACATAAAGCAATTAACTAAATAGCTCACAGGTTGGAAGAAAATATTTAAACAATGTATAAGAGATCTGCCATTGAGAAAAAGATGTCCTGAACAATGACAGTAGTAGGAACAGGGAAGACCAGAGATGATATTAAAAGAGGTTCAACACTGATAACACATTAGTTGCATTTTGGAACTTCAATGGACTGGGCTGAGGATATAGGGCAGTGGTAGAGGCTTACCTTGGCATGTGTGCAGGGCTCTGGGTTTCATGTCTGAATTCCACCACACCCTTTAGAAAAGTCCTGTACTTGAGATACTGTGTCTAGATAGTGCCAAGTGTTAGTTGATGTGGTGACTTGTGACATTCAGCCAGTCATTCCCTAGAGAGAAAATTACTTTAAAAAAAAAAAGCTATATGATTTAGTAGTTTAGGTTCTGGAACTAACCTTTGGACAATCGCTTATAAGTCTGTCACTTTGTACCTAGTAGCATCATGTGTCATAGCCAGAAAGTTGAAAAAAATTAATTGTCCATCACCTTGAGAATGGATTAAAAGTTTTATCCATCATTTGATATTATAGTAGAAATTGAAGGTATTAAAAATCCATCCCACTTTCACTGATAACTGAGTTTCAGACAACGTATTGAAATTTAGTAGCAGTTTTTTGGGAAATCTTAAAAATTAGAAAATGTGCAAACTAATGAAACAGATATATATGTGTAACAAACCTGTAGGAAAGGGGCTTTCATCTTATCTGTTTCTTTGTAAATCGATCTCAGTCTGTATATGAGACGGGCCCAGAGCTTCCTGTGGAGCTCCAGCTGGTCTTATAATCACAGCAGGCCTTCCTCACCCGTGCAGATACTGAGACTGTAGGCATGAATCATCATCCTTGACAAAAGGAAGGCCATTGTAAACATAAATGAAATGAACACATTTAGACTACCATGGTGAAGGATAGAATGATAGTGTGTTGAGACAGAGTAGCATACAGAGGACGAGGTAAGAGTTTCCTTCTGTTTCTTCTGCTAAGTTCCTAGCCATTTAAAATTTACTTTCATTTTCCTGATACAGTAGATATGAGAAGATAAGATAAAAGTGCAGCAATATTTCTAGAACATACCTTAATCAGCCAGCTAATATTTCAGTACATTGATGTCAAGAGAGTACTTATGTGTTTCAGGCATGAGGCTTGAATCAATTATCATTTCACACCTTCCTGTGCCTTTCTTTTATTTTGTAATTTTATTGTGTGCACTAGGATACCTTTTCATTGGAAAACTGCAGCATTGTTGTATATAGTTTGTTGCCTATATTGGTATATAGAAAAAATGGAATTGTTGAAAAGAATTTGCATGAGGAACATTTCATTGCCATCCAGATACTTCTTGCCGCACAAGGCATGTAAATAAACACCTACTACCCCTATGCATACATGAAAGCTTTGTCTTCATTTCTCCATCACCAGGCAAGTGAAAGACCAGAATAAGAAGGTAGCAAATCTGAAGCACAAGGAGCAGGTGGAGAAGAAGAAGAGTGCACAGATGCTGGAGGAAGCCCGGAGAAGGGAGGACAGTCTCAGCGACAGCTCTCAGCAGCTGCAGGTAGAGCCCCCAGTCTGAAGGAGTAATTGTCAGGATCTGATCCTCTGTTTTCTGCTGTTTGTTCTTCCTCTGTGTTCTCCTCTTTCTTCTCTTTCTAACCCTGCTTGCTGCCTTCCTCTTAGACTACCTGTTAGCAAAAAAAGAAATGACTTTTAAATAGAAAAGCAAGTTTTATTCTACAGCTATGTGAGGATACCTCAGCATAGGAAGAGTCATCTTGCATCAAGTTGATCACACTTAATTGGTAAGTTCAATTCAGTTTAATGAGTGTGTTACAATAAAGCCTCAGGATTGTCAGTACAACTGTCTGCCAGTTCAATTGATTAAAGTATGTTGGTAATTTTAGTGTGTGTGGAACTTTTTATTTCTTCCTCTTACTTTGTATTTTCCTCCTACTCTTAAAGTTTTAAAATTATTATTATATAACAGTAACTTAATAGGTACTACTTAATGTATATAGGTTTTTTTGCCTAGATGTGTGTGTATCACTTTTGTGTGCCTCTCAGAGGATATGAAATCCCCCGATACTAGAGTTACATATAACCACGAGCCACCATGTGGGTGCTGGGAGTTGAACACAATACATTGGAAGACCTGCCAGTTTTCTTAATCACTGAACCATCTTTTCAACCCCACCCCTTTTTTATTTTTGAAAGATGTGCACCACCCTTTTAATTAAATTTTTTTATATGTACGGGTATTTTGGCTACATGGCTATCTATGCACCGCATTTGCATCTGGTGCCTGTGGAGGTCAAAAGAGGGCATCTTATTCCATGTAATTGGAGTTACAGATGGTTGTGAGCTGCCAAGGGAGTGCTGAGAATCAAACCCAGCTCCTCTGGAATTGAAATAAGGGGCCAATTATTCACATTAATTAACCAGGCCTAATCACAGTAGTAACAGTTTTAGTGTGAAAAATGCCAGTTAGCTTCTTAGTATTTATGTTAGGCCTAAAGCAGTTGGGGAATTCAGTGCAGAACCACTGAAATACTGTAATGCCCAGCTTGCTAACTGACTCCTCAGAAGCTCCAATGCCATGTCTCCTATGTCTTTTGGCTGGCCCTATTTCTCGAGGCCACAATACTTTAGAAAGAAGGTATAGGTCTTAGAGTATACCAAGCATTTGCTGAGCCATGTACAGCCTCTTGAAGGCAGCAGAAGTGCTGTCAGTTTGCTTTTCTGAGGTGTGGCATAGTGTGCACTTCACAGTTCATAGCCGCAGAGCAGTGATGTTGAGATCCGGGAGTTCATGTCCGAAGCTGTGTTAGGATTTACACTACCTCCATTCTAGATGTACGAGTTTTTCTGGTGGGCATTCTTTTCTTCTCTTTATTCCACCTTTTGAAAGTGTGCCTTATCACATTTGACAAAGTTTCATTTTGTAATTTTCTCTTCTTAACTACAGTTCTTTTCCAAATGTGAATCTGATGGGTGGAAAGTATTCATTTAGGGGAATTTCTTTTACTACCACTGAACCTGAGTAGTTCAGAATAATTTTTTTAACATAAAATATTCATTGACCTATTTCCTTAGCACTTGTATTTGATTGTGGGAGGAACTGTTTTCTGGAGAAATGCAGGTATTGCTGTTTTTTTTTTTATTGTGGATGCAGCTTTAGCAGCTGTTTGGTTTCTGCTGCCTTGACTGCCTGTCTGGTATACTGTACCTTGAGCTATGAACCAGGATGAACTATTTCTCTGTCGTGCTGTGTTTGTTGGGTGTTTGGTTACAGCACCAGGGGAGGAAGCAAGGGCTGCAGTGCCCAGAAATGAACAGGCTACTGTGATAGTTCACTGGCCCCTTGGACACTAAATTTAGGAAGTGCCCCTCGAAAAGATCACCCACCCAGACATTAAAGAGGAGCCTGAAAGAGACAAAGACTAGAGGAAATAAGTTTAAACTAAGTGTGTTTAGAATGTAGTAAACAAGGTAGAGAGTGGGCAACTGTAGATCAGACTATGAAGGACTTAGTGACCACAGCAGGTTTCAATGAAAAGATAGCAGAATGTGGTTTGTATTTTGATAGCATTGGGGTAAAAGGAATGACGGGAAGAAGACAAGTTGTAGTGATGAAAGTGTTTGTTTTACAGATATTTACTTCATTGTATGTAGTATTGTGTGACAGACATGGGAATAGGGTAGAAGACAGAACAAATCCTTCCTTCCATGGAGCTCACATTCTAGTAGGTCCTGTAGTATAATAATGGAAAGGAGAGTGGATAATAGAAGGCCAATATGGAAAGAGAACACAGTGTGCATTTGAGGGATGAGGCAGAGTCATTCAATCCTAGGTTCCTGGCCCAGGTAGTTGAATATAAAATGGTAGTAAATAAGATAAGAGAGCCTGATGATGATGGCTATTGGAGTTGCCTGGAGAAAAGAACACGTCCATGTTCAACAGGTACAGTGTCCATGAAATAGCCCATGAGGGATCGCAATCAAAGCATTTGATATAGGAGGTTTTAGTTGGAGAACTCTGGAAGTTAATTTTTTAAATGATCTTTAAAATCACATAATAAGAAGCAGTGATTCTATCTCTAGATAAAATATAAGCAGAAGTATGTGAGGTTTGAGCTGACCCTTTAGGATTCTGTGTACAGGTGAGCTAGAGTAGATGAATATGAGGCTAGGAGCTGAGTGACTTGAGGCTGGTTTTGTCAGGAGAGGGAAAGGAGATCACTGCAGAGTGGAACCAGAAGGCAGTCTTAGAACAGGAAACAGAAGCTTCCCACCTCACACACCACAACCTGCTCGACTTTGGTGGAATCTCCAGGATATAACTACATTGAGTACTGATGAACATCAGTATATACATTGTTTACTACTGCCAAGATGCTGAGATGAGAGGCAGCCTAGCTGAGTGGTCTACAAGAGTGGGGGTGATCTCAGAGATCAGAAGAGGAAGCGGGCTCTCCTAAAGCTTGAATTACAGGTGACTGTGAACTGCCCAGTGTGGGTGCTGAGATCTTAACTCAGGTCCTGTGTAAGAGCAGTATGTGCTCTTAGCCACTGAGAAATCTCTGTAGCCTCTGTTGTTTTCTTGACCTGGGGTGGTAGTATGGCTTCTTAGATCTAGGTCCTTGCTTGTCCAGTTTTTCTCTCATACAGTTACCAAAATTCATTGTCCTTGAAAGAACTTTGGGATATCTTAAATATATATTATTATGCCATGAATTGAATCATGATTAATAAAAACTCAAAGAGAAAAATTAAGGTTCAGCTGATGTTCTGAAAAAGCAAAACAGCCAGCCACTGACTCTTACCTCAACCTCAGTCTGAAATGGTGATCGTGCCTCCCGGAATCTCAGAATGAGACTGCGTGTTGAGAGCTGTCTCCTCTCATTTTATAATCCTCTCTAGGGCTGGGATTAAAGGCACACATCACCCAATTTCTATCAGCTAGTGTGGCTACTGGGTTTAAAGGTGTATGTCATTGTGGTTACTAGGATTAAAGTTGTGTTTTACCATAACCTGGTCTGCAAGGCTAAACAGTGGGACTGTTTTACTCTCAGATCTTCAGGAAATTTTTATTTATTAAAATATAATTGAAATGCTGCTACAATGAATATTTAAATTTTTTAAAAAATATTACCCATCGCATTGAACTGTTTTGCAACTTCAGTTGCTATTCACTAATACAGGGCTTGAGTAATAAAGAAAAGTGATGTTCATGTTAGTTATTAGTTGTTTTGTTAAGTTCTTTCATTTCTCCTTTCTTCCTTTCCTCCTTCCCTCCTTCTTTCCTTCCTAGTGGTATGTTATTTTTTTTTTTTAATAAACAAAGCTTGCCTGCAGATCAGCAACCACACTAGTCAGCTATACAGGCCAGGCAGTGGTGACACACATCTTTAATCTCAGCAGCAACACTGGTTAGCCATAGAGGCCAGGTGGTGGTGCTGCATGCCCTTAATCCCAGCACTAGAGAGGAATATAAAACTGAAGGGACAGGTCGTATGCTCAGTTTCATCCTGAGATTCTTGGTGGCAGGATCACTCATTTCAGTTTGAGGTAAAGGTAAGAGCGGGCCACTTTGCCTTTCTGATTTTCAGCGTGGACCCCAATATCTGTCTCTGGCTTTTTATTGTCCATCTGTCCTCGCTCCCTCCCTCCCTTCCTCCCTCCCTCCTTCCTTTCTTCCCTCTCCCCCTCCCTCCTTTTCTCCTCCCCTTTCTTATGCAGGAATTTAGCTTCATTTCAGTTCTGAAGCATTTTTTCTAAGCCATAGTTTAACTTAAATTTGATGATTCACATCTCATGCAGGCTGTTAGGTGTCTTTGGTAAACAATTACTGAGTACTTTTTATGCAACAATTGTGCTTAGGGTTGAAAGGACATGGTGATAATAAAAAATAGTATTTCTTTTCTATGTTTATTATAAATTTTTTGGTGTAGAATATGTCAAAAGATGTGGTTTAGTACAATTACAATAATTCTAGTTATAATAATTGCTATGTGAAATTGCAATATTTTAGTGAAACTATATTTGTAACCATAGATGATATGGATATTTCATGTTAAATATGGACAGTAATAACAGAGAAAACATTCTAACATTTCTGGAAGCATTTCTGTTCTAAAAACAATTAAGAAAGCAATAAACTCAATATTGTGTTCGTAAAAGTATGAAATCACAGATAAACAGATCAACAAACAATGACACAGTTGCAAGAAAATAATTATGAGTAGATAGAACAGAGTTAACATTAGAGTGCATGGACAGATAGAACATAGTTATATTTAGTTGTTGTAATAAGGGCAGCGGGGCTGCGTCCCCGGCACCCGGCTGCCCCCATGGCTAGCTTTACTCGAAATAATTACACAGAAACTGTATTCTTTTAAACACCGCTTGGCCCATTTCTGACTAGCCTCTTCTAGGCTAGCTCTCGCACCTGGACTAGCCCATTTCTATTAATCTGCTGTAGCCCACCAGCTGGCTTACCAGGAATGATCTTAACCTCCATCTGTCTGGAGCGGGAGAATCATGGCGACTCCTTGACTC